GAAAATATACGTCTCGTTATTAAGAAATGTGACAATGAAAAGAATTCGGGCCTTCTTCAACACACGCTGCATAACAGCAATTTTCCCCCTTCAAAATTATACAAATATAACAAATTTATTTTCTATCAAAATAACTTACCAAGTACGCATGGATAAGTCTTGATTCATACTATCTTATTTCGATAAACTGTTACGCCGTTGTGCCGGGTACTTGTTACGGCGTTGGAGTCAAGATACTGCTTGCCAGACCGCTGTTTTACCACTTTTTTAAAAATCGTAGACTTCCTCAGTCAGAGTAATGTGCATCTTGGCTGTCCGGGTGACGCCGCGTCGAAGATTGTTGCCGACGTTTCGACCATCTTGTCGTGGTCTTGCCATGTCCATACCATGTATGAGATGTATGAGATGAGTAACCATCAGATGTATGAGCGTACCAGCCCTGAGGAAGACCACGACAAAATGGTCGAAACGTCGGCAAAATAGCCTCTGACGCGACGTGACGCGGACAGCCAAGATAATGCATTTTTTAAAATTTGTCCGAAAGTACGAAAACATTTTTAAAATTAGCTTCGACTATTTCACTTGGGAAATGAGATTCACCAGATGAACTGTTTAAAGCAGATAAACGTCGTTTTGAGATCAAAAATCGACTTGTAAGATAAAAGAACTCGTGCGTATACTCCGCTCAATTTTACGGTACTTGACAACGGAAGATCTTAGACCAAGGTGGAGTGATAATAGAAGACCTTAGAAGTAAAATATATCTAAAATAAGATGTGAGGAGATGGAATAATTCGGATATTTACACAATTAGTTCCTTTAAAAAAAGTTAAAAATCGGAATCAATATTTTGAGTAATGCATCAAAAAATTTTAAAATGGTCTTCGAAGGAAGACGGAAATATGTGAAAAAGGTAGTTATGTACTACTATTACAAACCGTTTACCTCGGTCTGTAATAGAAGTATAGAATCTCTAGTTTGATATCCGTGGAATAATAGATTGAGATGCAAAGTGACGAACGCATAAACCGAGTGTGTGGCTTGCGTGTCCCGCAACTACCACCTCCTCCGTCCGTCCGACGGGCCTGGCCGCACGACGCCGGGCCTGGCCGTGCCACCGCGCTGACAGAGGGCCCACAGCGGGCGGGTGTGTGAAGCAAGGGCGCAGAAGAAGTGGGGGGGGGCGAGGTGTTTTCGTATATTTCACTTTACGACGCTTCTATTCGTCCGATTTGCATGATTGTCACGGCGTTGGATTCAGGAAGCATGTCGCCATCGCGTTACAAGACCACATTTTAACATTTGTTCTCGGAAGTTTGAGAACTAATTTCAAATTAGCGTTTTTGTTATATTTTTGGAAAAAGGTCATCGTAGCGTAAATTCTATTTTAAAAAGGCGTCAAATGCCGTTTACAAATCGAAAATCGGACCATTGATTCAGACGTTATCAGTAAAGTAAATTCCCCTCTGATAGTGCTGCGATCTATTGAATTTTCCTACAAGTAATTTTCGGTGAATTTAGCCTTAATCAAACTTCGCGTTTCCTTTATTTATCTAATTTAACTATTGGATGGTTTAAATGCTTCTTAGTTAATTGTACACAGTCACCACTCTCGTATATTGCTGGTGCCTTACATAAATCTAAGCAAATACTATTTTATGATGTCCACAGGGTTCAATATTAGGTCCACTTTTATTTACAATCTAGAATGATGAAAAGTTGTTTACCAGTGATTTGAACTCCACTGTTATGGCTTATGCTAATCAAATCCAGATCCAAGTGCCGTCAAATTGACGGCTTGCCTAATTTTGAACCATAATCTATCACTGCCCAGCCGTGATTCTTTAGTTCAGTCTTGAATTATCTTATCGACTTCCGAGAAAATACGCAAGATATCTTCGGCAAAACATTTCCTTCAGGGTTTGACTTATCTCGAGTGTTGATATTCAAACCAACATCAATCAAACACAGCATTATCGTTGTATTATCTTGTGAAGAAATTTAACGAACGAGTGAGGTTTTCTGTTGCTTTTTTCTTCGTATAGGTTATTTTTCGAGGACACGACCATTAGTCGTAGTTCTGCACCCGTGTATTCGACCCAGGCCTCTGGCGCGGATCTAAGGGACCGTGCACCCGCGCCTCCTGGGTATGACTCTCATTTGCTCCCCAGACGTCGACTATATTTTCTGACTTCCTTGTGCATTGATTTAGGCTGATATTTTTGTTATTTCTGTGAAAAGCTTACATAACACTTCGGAACACGGGATAGCTTCTACACCAAGGAAATTCCCAGTTTATTTCAGAGCATCCTGAAGGATAATGCGGAAAGAAAAAAATGCTGTTAATTGAAAATGATAGGTATACATATGTATATATTTTTTGTATAAGTATACAAGAAAACGTGACAATTGACATTCACCAAGAAATCCTTTTTGAAACAACTGTATTTTACAAATCAAAATTCACCATAAATTTCATCGATTAGATGATTTCACTACGTGGTGATAAAATATGGATGAAAGAGATGACCAATTGTGTTTTTGACACTTGTGGGTTTTGAAGCAATTCATTCTAATGCCATTTATGAAGCCCTTAAATAAAAATTAATTCAAACTATTTTCGAACCAGCGTAGACATTGACGTTTTTATACTCAAAATAGAAAAGGGTCACAATAACAAACTAATATATGTTTGAAACAATGACAAGAAGTCGTATCAGGTACGGATGCCTGAAAAAATATCCAAGTGTAATGTGTTAAGTAAACGTGGCCTTTGCAGCAAATGACGTGAATACACGGAATCAATTTTATTCTCCAAAGTTTCGTATTTATTTCCGTTGCATTTAGTGCGGTGACGGCTTGTAGGGTAGTCCCAGTGTGCCAAGGCACCACGACAAAAAGCAAGGAAAAGAAAATTTTCACCACAAATATGTGTAAAAAACATAGTTTCTTTAATTTTTTAGAGTAATTCATCTGAACGGGCGCTTAGTCCTTCGATGATCTACCAATACTCTCTTCAAACAGACAGGGCGGTGTCGTTGAGCTTCCTGAACCTCTGAACCACCTACGGACTCGTTCTGATTATACACATTTAAAGCTGTATGAATAATGATGTGTAGGTTTCTACATTTCTCTTATGAACTAGACGGTGCCAGATTCGAACCGACACAGAAGTTCACGTTCATCTCCACAGAGGGCACGAATGACTCTCGGTGAGAGTGACCCTGATGCCCCGGTATTTCGTACGTTTTTCCTTGTGTTTCGCACATGGGGAGGCGGCATACGCCGTAGGTAGTTATTAATTTTTGTTTGTTTTCAGTTTAATCTTCATTAAAACATAATGAACATGGTCACTGTGAAATAATATTTTGTTCATCACGAATTACTAAACCAGTTTTAAAAACTCACGGCAACGTTTAAAAATATCGCTGGTTTTCTATCGATGTATTATTAACATCGATGTTATAATTTTCATCATCAACGTTTTGTTATCGATGCCACGTCAATAACTGGAACCACCAATAGAATTCCGTACCGGCCACCACTGGTTTTGAGCAAGAGTAAAGACCCTCAATTCAATAAGAGAGTTGAATCAGATTAGATTTTAAAATACACATTTACTTATTTATCTTATCAAACATTAGTCATAGTTTCTACACTAGATTGGCAAGTGATACTTAGTATTGTTCAAAAGGCTTATTCCAAATTCTCATTCCTAATTGCAGGGAATATGGTTGACCCATTTCTTCTTACGATACGCAACGAAAAATCCACTTTTGTGGTATCACGGTCCGATAAAACTAAAAAGCGTCATTTGTCCTTCAATATTACAATACTTTCTTTACACAACGTTCTAATAGTATGTGAGGTAGTAAAACGCAGACTTGTCGACCTCATCACCATCTCAATTAGAAAGAAATATTTTAAGTAAATTTATCTATTGTCGTCTTCAATATCATCCTATGTATGAATCTCGATTGGTAGTGATTGCGCAAGATTCGTCTTATGGAAGTTGTCAAGCATAGCAAATACGCTAATAATTATCTGTAAGTACTTGACAAAACACTCTACTCTATCACTCATATTAAAAACTTTCACTCAAAATCAGCTGATAAAATGGACATAAATTAATCAGAATCGGTGGAATTACGATAGTTCCATGAGGAATAGTGAACGATACCGTCGTCACTCCCGATGTCTTGAGTACAGAGGTAATTTCTTTTCTTTGAAAGAGGGTGATCAGAATGGTGGTGATTCTCGTGATGTGATGATGGTAGAGGTGGTGGCGGAAGCGGTGTTGTTGTTGGTGGTGGTGGTGGTGGTGGTGAAAGTTAACTAATGAGGCATTATACCTTAAATACTGCAATAAATTCGTTGAATGTTTGTAAAGCAAGTTATTTGGTGATGATTTTCGTTAACAAAGAAATTGCGCTTTCTACTCAACCAAATTCCGTTATTTATTATTTGAATATAAGATAGCGTAATCTTGATGTGTCATAACTTGCTCTCAAAGACAAATGGTACATTTTAGACTCTAAAGTTTAACAAAATCTTAAATTAATAGAAGGAACGAATAAATAGAATGAACTTCTACATTGTATAGATGGAGTATAGTTGCCCATGATTTTGTTGGATGGAGTATAGTTGCCCCTAGTTGCCCCGTTTTGTTGTGCGAATTGCAATATTTATTTATCAAAAGCTGTCGACGTTTCGTTAAGTTATATAGTGTGCAAATATATTAGAGAGATTTTTATTTCAAAGATTAGGTTTCAGATTAATGAGTGCGTAAAAATATAATCTCCAGCAACAGTTTGTCTCAAGTGCCCTTTACAAACTATTTCCAGTGTTAATTAATGTGATACATTAGGTTTTTAAATTAAGGTAGAAAGCAGCATTCTAAAAGAAGTTCCTAATCAACGTAATTTATTATCTTGTACAATTATTTTTTATTCCTGCGCACAATGGCGATGTAAAGAGAATCTTTTTCTCTATGCAAAGTCATTGGCTTAAAGAAATAAACACCACGCCTGTTGGTACCACATTCTGTGTCCTGCTGTGGACCGAGGGTCCATTTCGAACCAAATTAAATTTTATTTTCTTGTGCAGCTTCAGAAAAATTGTCCGTTTGTTCTGTTACCTCTGACTATTATTGTGTGCTGTTATGTCCGGGTAGCAATATTATTAATTTATTTTCAATAGGAAAAGCGTTATTATTTTTTACGCAAGTCCTTTGGATCCATTTGGACCCATTCTTTTTCTCAAGTTGAACTGTTATTAGATATTTGATATTATAATTCAGTGAATTCGTACTAATCAGCCACGGAAGGATAGTATGGTCATCTGAGACTATCTACTCATAAGGAGTATGATGGCAATGTTTCGTCGAGCAATATGCTGTCGAAGTTCTAGGAACAGCTACTCCATTCACTGCCAAAATCGCAACTCTCTGTACTATAGCAAGACATGCCTTTCGAATATTTAGGCTGTATATATGTGTTTTTTCTTCTTCTGATATGATATTATCGTGGATTCTATGTAACAATCGCTAAATAACGAGTCGTTTTCGAGGCAGTACATGCCAAATACGGAGGAACATTTTGGGTTCTTTGTGATAATGAAACGAGTGACGATGGAATGTTCAACCATACTATGGAAATGAAGAAGGAAAACCTATAAAACAAATTCTGGGAATGAAAGTTGTGCTAGAAATATCCTTACGTCTGAAGGGTCACAATTAACTGTTTTTACACCATACCAGTTGAATCAAATGTTTCTGAAACGAGACATCACTCGCGGTGGAACAATGCGCGAAAAAAAATATATACCGCTAAAAATTTCTCCAGACTAACGCCATGGAAATCTTCTATTCTACTTTCGCTGTTGTCAATGACCCGGCATTACTGTCATATGGGACAAGAAAAAGCAAGAATGTTCATCTTCAAAGCACACTTTACAGTAATGTAAGAGGCTTCTAATCAGAAGAAAAGAAACCTGAAACAATAACTAAGTATAACTCTACTAAAGAAGCTGTATATATATTATAAGTTCTTATTCATCGAAATCTTGCATCAATTCATATCTTTTGTTTACAAAGGTAAATCCTGATTTAAAAAAGTTACCACAAAATAAAACTTTTTATAGAAAACTTAGGGAAATCTTTTGTAAAGCTCTTAGTAATCTTAGAACACTTCTGCCATGAAATTTGTCAAGTGAACACATTGAAAAACATTAATTAACAAATTTCCGAGTGTGAATATTCCACATCGATCGAAAAGTTTAAAGCTTGTAAAGAAACTTTGCACCCAAGGAATTTTAATTGATAAATAAGTGGCGAAAGCCCCACGCCATGAAAGAAAGAAGGGAAAGCAATCTCTGCCAGGTTACAACAATCTCCAAGAAAATCTTTGAGGCTTCTATAGTTACTTTCAACAGGATTCCACAACTGCTCGCACTGCTGTTCGATCTCCTTGTGACTTTTTCCTCTGGAGGTACTTGAGAGATCAGGTGTATGCAGAAAACCTGCATTCGGAAGAAGAGCTCCACCGCTCTATTGAAGAGAAAATATCAGCAAATCCTCTGAGACTTACTTCAAAGGTACATCAGAATATGTTCCGGAGGCTCCAAGAATGCATTGTAGCACCACTAGAACATTCTAGACGGACATCTCTTTCAGCACCTGGTGTAAGGTAAATTGAGTGACGCAGCGATAGTTCTCGTTTGTCTGCACGGGAGAGGTGTCAGCGTTTTGCTGGGAGAATGAGCCTTTGACAGTCCGGTCGACGTGGCCCGAATCTTTGGTGAACGATAAAATAAACTCTCTGTACTACATGTATGTAAAACATTTTTTTTCTATTTTTGCTTTACATTCATTAATTTACTACTGAGCATTTTGTACCGGTGACCATTGTTTTACACAATTGCACAATCTTAAAAATAAAATAAATGCGTGTAAAAAAAACAACTTTTGTACAGTTTTAATTTCCTATGATGTATACTAAATACATTTGTTGAAAAAGTAAATAATGAGCAATAGAAATTAAATGGGTCCATTTGGACCCGGGGAAGGAGGAGTAAATTTGCGGACTGCAGCCGGGTTAATATTTCTCTCTGGCAAAACGTGTAACGCTGACGCAGTAAATAGTTTTAAAAATAGTTTCATGAGTTGAAAATTTCTTTTATACTTAATTTCTTTCATTCCCAACTTTGTTTAAATATCTTCTTTCAGTACCTGGCATTGGACTTACCAATGACTCGCAGTAGCTCATAATGTTATACTCCCGTTCTCAAGTTCCCATAATCCAATGGCCTTGTGTGTTACCTCCATACGGGATATGAACAGGTTTTACTATAATTTCAAAATTATAATCGTCTTAACAAATATTTGCAGATTTTGATGCTAATAAATAACTTTTAGTACAGCTTCATTTTTACGTTTATATGTTTATATGCACAAATGCTAAATGCAAAAATACATATCATTCCAAATTAATTCCGAAAATTCTATTGAAACTTCTTTTGCAAATACATTTGATTCTTCCCCGCATTTCCTTACTTTTATCCTAATTTTTGAAGAGATTAAAACTATACAAATGCAGTCAAATTTGTGTTACTTTTACTTGTGAGTAGAATAAGGTGTGGGTCACATTCATTTGAAAATCAGTTTTTGCACTCTTATGTAAGAACGTAAATGTGCGAAGTCGAATACAATGTTCACTCATTCTTTAGCTTTACTCACAGCTTTCTTTTGTCCGTATTTACTTCAAATTCATCAAGTTCAATACGTTCTGAGACAATACTGTTCGTAGGTATTCGCAATGTTTTTTTAAATACGATAATAATTCGATTCTAAACGTTTGACAACAGTTTGATAAATCTAATAATATAACTGAATACTGTACTTATTAATAACCATGGTCGCGAAAGAAAATTATGGCGTATTAAGGAAAAAATATCTTCGGGTTCTGGTATTTAATCAACTCCACTTACATAGATTGATTTAAGAGGCGTTGGTTTTATTCCTGGCATTGGCCGGTATTGCACTGTAAAATATATTTGACGTATATCTTTGATGAAGAACTTTGTGGATGTTCTTTAGACTTTCCCAAAAGCAACTTTGACAAAGAAATTTGAGGAACGTATTATATTTCGTCCAATATTTTATGTAGTTTTTCTCGCGATTCAAGATGAATGACGCACAAACAGTTGTGTTTGTACTAGTGTATGCTTAATAATAACTTATCTGTGTTTAATCAACGCCACCTAGAGAGCGTTGGTTTATTGCTGAAGAAGTAAAAGATAAAGAGAAGACGAGGTTGAGGCCATGGGTCGCACATTGTGAAGCGTATATTAAAGAATTTAGAAATGAAGAATTATTTAAGGATGGACGAAGAAATATTCAATTATCTTTGTCGTTCTTCTTCTTTCTCTGAATTGGGGCCTCTGAATTTTGAAATTTAAAAAAAAAAACTAACTTCATGATTTGGGCATTTTCCAAACCCCACATTTTCCACTTCTCGGGAAAATATGTCAGACGTGCCAATGCGTTTGATTTTATTTTATTAGTTAGGATGAACAATACTATATATACATTCTAATTGCTTATATAATGCAATCAAAATTTTGTTTGAAGCAATACCCCACGTTTACCTATCGGACGCTGCCATGTTACCAAATGTATAATAAATCTGGGACGTTTGAGGCTAGATTTATTAAAGAAGTTAGACATCGTTTATAAATATTAGCTATTGCACTGTCATATCTTCTTTTATAAAAGATCTTTGACCAAGATCTTTTACGGTGTAATACCGGCCAATACCACTAAGTAAGATCGCAGTGTCAAAACTAGAAAAAACACTTTTTCGGAAAAATCTTTAAATCTTCTAGCGGGATTCACAATAAAATTATTAGTTCATCATCAGGAGACCGAGGCGCATTGAATGACACCTCGTACGTCTCGATTGGTGCACGGGAAGTAGTCTGGACGCCAGTGACGGAATGGCGGAAACACATATCTCCACGTCCGCTTATTCAAGAGCTTCACTGAATTACTGTATAGTGACGTTCAATACAATTTTAAAACTTACATTAATTTCAAATATTATCACTGATTGACATGTCAATTTCAATCCCACCTGTTAAAGACAAACATTCTTAAAAGAAAGTATGGGTATTCTAGAGCAAATTTGGTTACGCGCTGTGCGCTGTTCACTTGTCTACTAAAACTGTGTCAAAACGCAAGGTGTTCAACGTGTTCTGCTACTTTTGAATGCAGATCATATTTTTCCCCTTCGATATTAAGGCTTCGAGCGGAAATCATGGCATTGTTTCAGTGTTCGGAGAGTTTGAAGTTTTCAAGTTGGCTTCAAATTGAGCACAAAAAATAAACTAGTGGTGCTACTACAGCAAACACTTTTTCATATTTTTTGTAAGTTTGCAGTTTTCTATATTCATAAATCAACAAAAATGACATCCGGACAATTCTTTTAAGCGTCCCTTCAATCTGTGGATATTTTTGAAAAACTGAACATGACCTTAATTCAAGACCTGTCTTTAAGGAACATATTTTATTAAGAAATAAAACCTCAATTTTCAATATTATAGTTGGAGGAAGACACTCAAAAGAGTTACACTTTTGCAATATTCAAAAAAATCTGGGATTTCCTCGATCACTTGTCCTGTACCATTCTTTTTAGCGTCTTTTACGCTATCCGGGGTCAAAAGTAATACAAAAATTTGGTTTCATTTTTGAGAAAATTTTGAAAATGTTTTTGAGGCTTCAATGAAACTCCTAAAGCCTTGAGTTCATGCAGACCGATGGGGAATATCAATTTTGGAGAAAATTAACTTGACGGCTTAAGCGCTATTTTGACTACAGATGGACGTGTAGGTCAGACAGACGTTTTGCCAATAATCGTTTTGTCTGTATCCAGGACCAACAAAATATGGATTCTGGCAAAAACACGTGTTAGAGGAAATAATTTTCTATATATAGGAACATGAATTATCCACTTTTTCTTTACCAGAGCCCGGCACTATCTGCAGAAAATTCGTTTTCTAGCGCAAGATTACATAACTTTCTCTTCTTACGAAGTAACTGCAAGAAAGTAAAAAAGGGAGACTTACAATGTTACAACGATTTCTTTGGCAAGTGGTAGCGGGCATTATTATGAATTTTGAGAGGGTACCGTCAAAAAACACCAAAACGTTATAGACACTTAACTGTGAGTAATAGCATTTTGTGGAATCCCTAATAGGAGTTGATACTGATACTGTATTCGAGCTGGTTGTCGTTACCTAAAAAGGTTGTTCTGCGGAGAGCATCTTGAGGTCATGGCTATCTCACTAAATATCTTTGGAGACAAAATGAGTAAAACTGAGCCAGCTATTTTTGAACAATCGTTGATTGTATAGGGGAGTTTGTCCAGGGAAACTTTTAAAAACACAGTCGAAGATATAATATCAACATTTTGAGTACGTCTTCAATCTATATTCAAACATTGCCGAGCTTGGTCCTGAGAATGGCTGCAGAGTTTGAGTTACTGACTGCGAACAAATTAACACTGCACTCAGTTCATCACCAGATCTGTTCTAGACTTGTCGAAAGTGCACGCGGAAAATTTCTAGAAATGTACAAGCAAAAACGCGCATTAGTAGTGCAGTGTAAGCAGCAATTAAGAATGAAACATTTCACTCTTGAAGAAGCAGGTACTAAGCCGCGACCACGCAAGTGGGGAAACTGGTTTGCACACACGTTTTCAGGAAAGAATCACATATTTCCTATGCTTAACATGATTCCACTATCTCAGTGTTCTTTACGACGTGAACTTCAATTGTCCGACTGTTTCCGTATTCTTGAATAACTTTTATTTTCCGTTTTTTCTGTGGTCTTCACTCAAGGATCATACTCTTAAACAAAAATGTTTTTATATTGTTTTCTCAACATAATCTGTAAAAATCAATATTTTAATTAGATTATAGAAATAAAAACAGAATACTATGATTACTGGTACCAGTGATTCCCCCAAGAGGCAAGGTATGGGAGCTTCGGCCCTCTCCATATGAGGCGTTAGCCCTCGTCCCGAAGCCAATGATACATATTAAAACACTTTTACTATTTTTTGTACTAACGAGTCATTTAACTTACACATTTCCGTAGTAGTAGCCCACCGCCTTCTCCCATCCGAGCAAACCCTATGTGCCATTGCTGCTATCAATAGAATCTGGTGTGTGAATAATAATAAACAAGTTATCCGACTTTACTGAACATAAAACGATTTTCCTGAGGGTTAGGAAACAATGTCTTCGACAAAAGAGAAAGAACCTGGTTCGTGAAGTAATAGATTTGATAAATCGATGAGAGTTTAAAAAATATGTTTGTAGATTAATGCGACATTTTCCCGCAGACGACCGCAAGTATGCATTGCAGTGCGTTTCAATGGACTCGTATGAGCTGACAAGCTGGGAAATGCACTAAAAGCCAATAAATTATTTCTCCGCATTTTGTATACTTCTGAATGGGCAGAATGGAAAGTAAGCCAGAGAGTGACTGCTGAAGATTTGCTTTCAATGCTGGCAGAATTGTGACAATGTGTGCAATAGGAAGCGGGGAAACGCAGATAAAAAGTGATGCAAACCGCATTATGCAGAAGAATTCTGTCTAAACAGAAATCATGGAAGTGAGCTACGC